GATTACTAGATGTGATAAAAGGATGTAGAATAACAAAAAAAAAAACGTTATTGTTTTATATGATTTGAGAACATACTATTCTTGACCACGAAGAATTTCTGGTGCAGCATATGCAGCCGAACCACAAAATGTTCGACTTAAAATCTTTTTTTCAATCATATTCTTTTTATTGTCACTTGGTGGAGGATCAACTAATTAATATGAAGTTTTGCTATTAAAAAAAAGAACAAAAGAAGATTTCTAACGAACCACAATAACGAGAGAAGCCAAAATCGGCTAATTCTATCACAAGAATTGCATGAACATTGTTAAATATCAATTTTGAACTTACTAATTCGTAAGTGATTATCCAATAAAAGATTTTCACATCTGAAAATAATTCAGAAAAAATATATTATTATATATAAATATAATTTACTTCAAGTCCCGATGACATATATTTCGAAAATCTTAAACAATTAAAACTACAGTATTCAATAGAATAATAGTAAGAAATTTTCTTACGAATATAATAAATAGCATCACATAATTCACGAAACATACGTCGAGCAACTGATTCTTGTAGACGGGTCGTTTTCTAGAAGCTAAACAACGTCTAAGATATCACCTTTCATATATGCTCAGCAACAAATGAATAATATACGATGTAAATGTCTTGACAAAAAATGTCAAACTCTGTTAGACTATACTAGCAACTTTTAAATCAATCTAATTCTTTTTCGAAAAAGTAGTGTTTCAGCTGAGAATTTTCTATCGGATATATTTTTTCAGAACGAATCTAAGAAAGAGAAAAAGTTGAGAACATGTAGAAAAGTTCTTGCAACTTTAAAAGCTTCTGTTTTTCAATTATTTTAAGCTACATGAGGGAGCCCATCAAATCCATTTTTTCGAATTTGGACTCGGAACCAACCCCATAAGTTCTATTACATAGGTTGAATTCTTACAAAAACGACACCAAAATGTAATACATCAAAAGCTCTATTGATGTCAACATTGAAAAAAGTATTTTAGATCTGTTCTTGAATATTTAATCAAAAAAATTTTTGGAAGTTGAAATTTTTGTAATATAGAGTCTTTTGCGAGAACAAACAGTTTAAAAGGACATCAACCACGATATCGAGAGCCCATGGATGAATTGAATTTTTCATGTGTGTGGTTTGTTCGATATATCTCGATACATAGAAAATTAGCAGAAAAACCAATTCCAAAAAAATATTCTTTTGTTGTTATGAAACAGTTTGGTAGTGAAAATTACCAAATTGTACGGTGTCTGTTGAAAAATAAGCTATATTTTGGTATAAAAATTAAGATTAAACTTCCAATTAAACGGTTTGTTTTTTCATTCCCCTTCTAATATAAAAAGTTTAACAAAGAAAAAGAAAATGATATTGCGCGATGATGAAGTTACAAGAAGTTCTTTTTAAAGGTATTTAATTTTGGGCTTTTCCTACTTGTCAGGTTTCTTTTGAAAACATAAGTCTGGTACAGAATTTTTATTTCAAACATAACTCTTTCTAACAAAAAAAATTTGTTTGTTTGAGAAGTTGATAATAGAATCTAAGAGAGTTTGATATTTTTGCTAAGACTTTTGCATCACATACTATTTTGTGTTAGTTCTTTTACGTATGAAGCAAATTCCATCAAATCTTAGCTAGAAATTTTTCGTTTTTTGCTTACATTTATATAATCAAGCAGATCTCCATTGGATGCATATTCCATAACGATTAATGTAAGAGATTTTGTTTCAAGGATATGTTGTACCTTTTAATAGAAATGATTATATGATTTTATTTGTTCTTAAAATTAACTTTGATAATATTTGGATGGTCTAATATTCTAATAATATCAAGTTCACGTGGTAAAAACTTAGTAACAAAATCACTAGGAGCTTTATCACGATCGATTATTTTCACTGCAAATTCTTTATTATCAATTTCACGTATGCATCTTCTGTATTCCACAAGAAAAAAAAGTTAAATTCGATTAATTTTTTCTTATGTTATTTGAAATCTCACTTGACTTTTGCATACGAACCAGTACCAATTAATTTTTCATTTATACGAAAACCTAATTGAAGAAGCGGCTGTTGAGCATCGGTACTTGTTGAATAATTTTTTGTACCATTCGATGAATAAAGTTTTGATTTTGTTGGTAATTGTTGTCCTTGAGTTGTAACTTTAGGATTTTTTAACCCTTTAGGATCGTGTTTTGCATTAGTTAATGAAAGAGAATTGTTCATACTATTGATTGTAAATGTGTCGACGCCACTTCGAATAATATTCAATGAATCAATATCATAATCTGATAAATCATAAATTAATAATAATTATTATTTTTTGTTTTTCTTTTGTTTGATATAATTACAATAAGGAGAAATTAGTAAAATATATTGTAGAACGAAGATAAAATAAAAATGATTTGGAAGCGTTAAGTTTGCTTGTAATTATATGTACGTATATTAGTGGTGTAGACACACACAGAAGAATACGAAGTTTAAATTAAAAGAAGTGATGAAGTTGTATGAAGGATTCGAAATTCGCAAATTATCGAATCGAAAAGCATGCGCAAACATATCAGCACATACTTCTCGCTAACGTACAAATATTAAAGTTGACATGGAAACAATATTTATGCAGCTTGTTTTTTTTTTTATTCGTTCAATCAAAATTAAAACTAATAAATAAACAAAAGTAGTTTATATTTTTTCGTGTCAATGGTACAATGTATCAATATTAAATGTCTTCGAAAAAAGAAAAATTGCCAATATGATTTTCGAGAATTTTATGTTTTTTATATTCGCAGTTCAGAAAGATTCATTTAATTCGTTTTTAGATATTGTATAGATTTTAGTTCAATCATTAAAAGAAAATTTGAAAAATGTATTTTATTACTATGATTCCAAGTCAAAAACTTAATTCCAATAAAATTTTTCACTGAATACATCGAAGTATATTGAAATAGATAATTTGAAAATAAATATACAAGTGCATAATAGATTAATTATTTACATAAATATAATTCAATATGAACGATCCAATTCGATAGCAAAAGCAATAACATGATTTCAAATAGTTATACGAATGAGATGATCAAATTAAACTTCTGCTATAGAAAGATTTTTATTAGAAATCATATTACATTCAATTAGAAAGTTTATCAAATCGATTGAAATATAATAGATCTAAATATTCCAAATTAAATAAAAACATTTAACAAGATTCAAATCTACATTGAAGTAATGTTTGACGATCAATATTATCAATTACACTTCTTCATAAATACATAGAATTAAGCAAAGACTATCTAATAAATAAACCAATACACAACCTAAGTGTTCATGCAATGATAAACTTATAACTCGACTATTTTTGCTTATTTGTATGTATGTCAATAAATAACTTTGGTATGTCGATATGTTTAAAGCATTCTATGCCGACCACGGCTACTAATTGGTCGAACTGATTTGATTTTGTAATAAACACCCATAAGCTATTCATGTAAAAAATGACAGAAAACAATCTAGCTGTCATCAATTTCTTTCTCTGATTACATATCGGTTATAATGACACTTATTACTTTTAACTGCAATCAACATAAAACGCGTTTTTCTCTTGTTTTGATTTCGAAACTCAAGTTTTTATTTCTTTTTTTGCACGCATTGACTCAACAAATAGTAAGTATAATACTTGACAATTTTTATCATCTAAATTACACTTCAAGATATGTATTTATATTTAAACTTATTCAAATAAAACAGAATGTTGATAAATTAAATAAGAATCAACTATATTTATGTTTTGGTAGACAAAAATATACTTTACAATTTTTTAGCCATATTTCATTAAATTTCAATCTATTTTAATCGATTAAAATGGATCCACAATCCAATAGCTGTATAAAATCGATTGCAAATAAAATAATCTGTTGAAAATTAGATAATAATTGTATCATTTTAATTAATTTTTAATAAGCAAAAGATCGATGAAAGTCAGACTTTTTTTTCTGCCTTTTATTATCACATAGCTTATGACTTTGATCCCCAGATTGATAATTATCTAGGAATGATATCTTGAATAAGACACAAAGTTCTCTAGACGCATCACATAGTATTATTGTACAATTGCTTTCTTCGAAAAGTCTCATTTAATCTTTTCGTTGATGCAAACATTTATGCAATCGAGAGTGAATCAATATACAAAAGAGAATAAAGAAAAAGGATGAAATTCGAGTAATAGTAATTTATCAACGAAATCAAATGTACAGATGACGGCAGAAGACCGACAAATTCGATTGACATAAGCATGTCACTATTTTAGTTCATCTACTAAAGCTTATTGGTCTTACATTGATATGTAGACATTTAGTCGGCAAATTGTTAATACAAATTTATTTGTCTATTGACGTTGAAAAACTTTGTTTTTATTCAACGAAATATCTTTGTTTTGTTCTCCTCCTTCGCAAATAAAGTAAACTTGACCAGAATAACAAGCCGACCTATTTTCAAGAAGAATTTTTCTTAAATAAGCAACCTGTCAGCTGGTCTATTTTTGAAAGAAATAAAATAATGAGTGTACTGATTCAAAATTTTGTAACATTTGAATCAAATTTAATAGGCGCAAGTTAGTTCATTCGAAGTCCTAATACCGACGTTATATATTAATCATACGAACATTTTCTTTTGTATTGAAGTCTTTTCTTTAATTTCGTTTGGACTAAAATAACTATTATGGTATGCTAATTCATCATTTCTTTTCTTTCTTTTTCTATTAACATGCAATCCTTTCTTTTGTGTCTTTTGATAAAAAAAAAAAAAGAAATATTTCGTCTTTCTTTACATTCGAAATCAATACCAACAAAGATATTATAAAAGCAGAACAGTAAGGTCATTCTTTCATTCTATACTTAGCATTGCATTGTATAGATAAAAGTTCTACTTACAAAAACATTCTTGTTTTTTATTAACATCGATCAATCGATTTAAGTTATACAATTTCAAGAATATGTCGCACGGAACTCTTCAAGTTACTGTTGTCGAAGGTCGAAATCTCAAAGATAAAGATACTTTCGGTCAAAATGATGCTTATATTGAATTATACTTAGATAAAGATTATAAACAACGCACATCAATCATCAAAGATACAAATTCACCTACATGGAATGAAACATTTAATTTGTAAGTCAATATTGATTTTTTTGCATCTTTGAATTTTAGAAAATTATAAGCTTTCTTTTTTTCTTTCAATTGAACAGTAATTTATTAAAAGGACAAGATCATTTACATATCAAAGTATATGATGAAGACATAGTTGGTAAAGATTCAATCGGTTCAGCTAAGATTAGTTTAAAAAAAATTCAACAGGCTGGTGGTCATTTAGATGAATGGGTTAAATTACCTGCTCATCTTGGTCTTGGTTCACATGGTGAAATTCATCTTATTTTACGACTTACTTAAACATTAAAAAATAATTGTTTATTCAAGAAAATAAATGCACTTTGGGATATAATGTATCGATAATTTCTTTTCTGTTTTTTGTTTCATTTATGTACGGGAATGTTTCGTTTATCTTTTATTGCTTTTAAATAAAATATAAAATTAATTAGTTATAGAAAAATTCTGTATTTATCGCAGTGAACGAGCAATTGGGATTATACAGTACGATAATTGGCAAGGGGCCAATGACATTGAGAAAAATAAGCTCGAGGTGCACGTGTCGATAGAGGGTAAATACAAAAGAACAGAAAAGTTTCTCGACGCTCGACAAGCAATAAAAAAAAAAGAAGAAGGGCAATATGGGGTATATATTTTCTTTTCTATCGATTTACTATATTAAGAGAAGACAAACGCAATACAAACGGTCCAAAATAAAAGCAGATTCATTAAGAAAAACAAGAAGATTTGTCAAATATGTTATCTAAACTTTTATGTAGACAAGTACTTAATCATGGATTTCGTTTGACAACACGTGCTTCATCAGCATCTGCACAACAAAAACTTGTAGTCGAACGAAAACCGGATGTGAAATATCATAAAGTTTGTTTATCTCTAAAAATAAATAGATATTTGAAAATTTTGTATCCATTTTACATTCTTTTTCTAGCTTTTTATTAATAATGAATTTCTTGATTCAACAAATGGAAGTACATTTGAAGTTATCAATCCAGCTACTGGTGATGTTATCGCTGAGGTTGCAGATGGTTCAGAAGTATGAGTTTTTTGAAAAGTTTTTTTTTTGTGAACTTTCTTAAAGTCAATTTTATTACTATTTGATTAGAAAGATGCTGATAAAGCAATCAAAGCTGCTAAAGACGCTTTTCGACTTGGTTCAGAATGGCGTCGTATGGTCAGTGTGACATTTTGTATTCTATTATCAATAAAGTATTAGTTTTTATTTAGGATCCTGCAGGTCGCGGTGCTCTACTTAACAAACTTGCTGATCTTATTGAACGTGATCGAGCTTATCTTGCTGCTTTAGAAACATATAATAATGGTAAACCATTCAAAGATGCCTATAATATTGATATACCACATTGTATTGCTGTTCTCCGGTATGAAAATAAATATTACTTTTTTTTCATATATATATGTTGATTTTGTTATTCTTATAGATATTATGCTGGATGGCCAGATAAAATGAATGGAAAAGTTTTACCGATTGGTGGTGATTTTTTTTCATATACACGACGTGAACCTGTTGGTGTTGTTGGTCAAATCATTCCAGTAGATACAAAGCTTTTTTTAAAATTAATTCTTATTCATGTGAATTTTTTTTTAGTGGAATTTTCCAATGATTTTACTCTGTTGGAAAATTGGTCCGTCTGTAGCAACTGGTTGTACAACAATTATTAAACTTGATGAACATACACCTTTAACCGGTCTTTATACAGCAAGATTAATTCAGGAAGCTGGTTTCCCTCCGGCTAGTATTTTCAACTCTTTTTTGAAAATAAATAAGAAATATTCTTTTATAGGGTGTAATCAATATTCTTTCTGGTGATGGACCGCATTGTGGAGGTTCAATTGTAAGACATCCAGATGTTCAGAAAATAGCCTTTACTGGTTCAACACAAGTTGGTAAAATTATTGGAACTGAAGCAGCTAAAATGGTTAAACGTACAACACTTGAACTTGGTGGAAAATCACCAAATATTGTTTTTGCTGATTGTGATCGTATGTCAAAAAATTTTTTTATTGAATATATGAACAAAAACTACATTATTAACTCTATTTATAGTTGATTCAACTGTTGAAATGTCTCATTTTGCTTTATTCTTTAATCAAGGTCAATGTTGTTGTGGTATGTTCTACTTATTTGTTTTAATATTTTATATAGAGAAAAATAAATAATTTTTATTTAGCTGGATCACGTACATATGTTGAAGAAAAAATTTATGATGAATTTGTTCAACGTAGTGCTGAACGTATAAAACGACGAAAAGTTGGAGATCCGTTTGATGAGAGTACTGAACAAGGACCTCAAGTAATTAAAAGAGATTTTTGTTTTTGCTCTATTATTTTTTTGTTTTCTTTTTTTTTGTAGATTAGTCACGAACAAATGGATAAAATTTTGGATTTAATTGATTCAGGAAAGAGAGCTGGTGCTAAATTACTTGTAGGTGGTGACCGTGTAGGCGATAAAGGCTTTTTTGTTCAACCAACACTTTTTTCTGACGTACACGATAACCATCGAATTGCTCGTGAAGAAGTAATCAATGATACTTTATTTACTTTTTTTTCGATGAATTTTTTTGTTTTCTATCTTAAAGATTTTTGGACCAGTAATGCAAATTTTAAAATTTAAGACAATTGATGAAGTTATTGAACGTGCTAATGATACAGATTATGGTTTAGCTGCAAGTGTTTTTACAAAAGATTTAGATAAAGCTATTGTTGTTACTAATGGTCTTCGAGCTGGTTCAATTTGGGTTAATACATATGATAATTTTGATCCAGTTGCACCATTTGGTGGATTTAAACAAAGTGGTCTTGGTCGAGAAAAGAGTGAATTTTCATTAGATTCTTACACAGAAACTAAATGTGTATGTATTTCAAGAGGAAAATTTTAAAAAAAATGTTTTTTTTTGTCTTATTAATTATTTTTTTTTATAGGTTACAATCAAGATTTCGGAAAGAAATTCATAAATATACATTCAAAATTATAATAAATAAATGAGAACGGCAATCATCCTATTGAACAAGAAAAACTTTGTTTTTTTTTGTCTCGTATTTTTCTTTCATTATGGCATTTCTCAGTAGTCTTAACCAGTTATTAGTTTGTCTTCGTATTGCAGAATAAACTAGTTTCATTTCACGGTTCAATACAATCAAAATAAGAAACACCATAAATACAAATATTTGTTCTTTTTTAATAGAGTCAATAATAGTGAACAAGTCATGTAAAACTGGAATCAATGTCTCTCAATATTAATATTCCATTAATGAATTATTAGTACTATCATGTTGAATTTTTCTATGGCTATTATTTTTTCTTCTAAAGTTCAGAGATGTCTTGAAATCGCTAAGATTGTATTAGGGTAATTCTTGCTGTAGGGCATGGTAAGCAAAACAAATGAAGAAAATCGTTCGACTTGACTAGAGTAAAATAAAAATTTTCCAAGATTGAAGGATCACCTTTCCTGATGCTTATTGAATAATAAAAGAAAAAGGATTTTTTTTTTCTTCTTCTTTTTCATGCAACTCTAACTAAAACAGGAATAATTTTTACAAATTTTCTTAAAACTATACAATACGATCTCAAAGAAAGACTTTGTTTTGAAATGCATGCTGTTTTTATTTTGCTTGGCACAAAAAAGGATGTTTTCTCAAATAACTTATGTAATTCGAAATAAAAAAAAAATAACTTTTAGGTTTGGTCGACAAATTTGTTTATATTTTCCTTCCGCAATTTTTATTATCATACTTGTCTATTGAAAAACTCTGTATATCTAAATTGGGATAACAAATTGTACAACAAATATAGACGTCTTTATTTTGTGTGCTAATGCATTTGCTCAAATTTATTGATGAGAAAAACATAGACTAAATGTAATCAAATTTCAGCTAATGAAAAAATCGCATATTTAATTAAAAAATTTTATTTTATTTTTTTCGGCTCAGATTAATCAGAATAAAGTAAAATCTTTGTATAGGAAAGCGTTGTGAGACAGATAATGATATCAAACGATGGCAATAATACGAAAGACAAAATGCTTTAAGCAAACATCAATCTCAATACCCTTATTCAGGATTAACAATGCAGCTGAATATGTCGAATTGTTCTATCCTATGGTAGAATTTTTGATCAAAGTAAACGAAATGTCTAAACAGTAAGAAAAAGAAAGATGAATAAATTTGATTAAGTGAGTCTCATAAACAAACTGGAGAATTACTACAGAAAACATCAATATTGATTCTCATGACAATAAAATAAAAAATGTTATTCTTCTGACTAAAAATTCAAATGCATAATAATTAAATATATCGATTTCATAAACTCACAAACCATATTTAATTAAAAGATTTACAAAAAAATATGAAAGAAAATTTTTACAATCGTTACTATTTTGAATGTTTGACATCTAGAACTATTGTTGATTACAGTTTTGAAATCAATTCAACAATCACACTAACACTTCAAATTAATTTACAATCATATCAAATCACTCGATCATAGTTCAAATCTTATCTATAACCTTATTCTTAAAACATACACTTATCTTATTCAAGGTTTCACTATACTTTAAAAAATTTTTTATTAATATTTACTAATTTATATATTATAAAATCTAATTAAAAAACATTTTTCCACTTATTATAAAAAACAAATCAATCAATGCATTGAGTTTTTTTGTTATATAATCATCAGTGACAACATACAAAATCAATTCATGTACAGAAAGATTTCATTGGAGAAAAAAAAATTATTATTGAAAAAGCAATATTAAAATAAAAAATTGATATTTATAAAGTAATCAAACAATGAATGAATCAAAAAAAAAAACAAACGTGTAAATATTAATCAACTTTATCAAGAAGAGTAATCATTTATATAGAAGAGAAAAAGAAACATTTCATAAAAAAAACGACAGAAACATAAAAGATAAATTGAAAAGATTACATTTAATAGAAACCAAAAACTTATTGACTTATTACCATTAGAATTTAAGTTATATGTTTCTTGTATAATACTGAACGAAAAAGAAAGCGATCATGTTGACTCAAACATTCATCATAGCAACATCAATAAGCACAGAAAAAATCTATTCTATATTAAATCCCATTACAAAGCAAATAGATGACGCCAAACTTGACAGGAATATAATATATTCACACGAATAACAACAATCTATGCCAACGGTCAATAAATTTGAATTGAATGAAAATGAAATTTCGTCATAAAACTTTAAATATCAATTTCATCGGTGTTCAGTTTATTAGGTTAATAAAATTACGAT